TCGTTAGGGTTTGGCTGCGAGGCAAGAACGCGCGCGCCGCCGTTGCTGGTGGTGGAGCGGACCACAGTGAGAGGCTTCGCGGCGATGACAGGCTTGCCACCGCGGAAGAGGAACTTGTGTAACCTTCCTGGAGGTGGTGATGTTATGGAAGGTTCTTCTTCCTCCATGGATACAAAAACGTTGCAAAATACTAAGAAAAAGAAAGAGAGAAAGAAATGAAATGAAAACGACGATAGTGAGAGTGGTATGAGTGGCAGAGAGGGTTTTGTTATTGGAGTAAGCGCTGGTTTTCCAGTGGCGCGAAATTGTTTCACCCTTTGGCGCCGTTGATTCATGGTTTCAAAATAAGGTTTATGTATTAATTAAAAAATAATTAATTTCCATGCTAAATTAATTAATTTATTAATATAAAGTAAGTTTAAATATGTTTTTAATTGTTGGGAGACAAGTGGGTTTTAATTTCGTCCCAGTAATTTTTTTATTTATCCAAAATTAAAAATCAGCTTTTTGTTCTTAATATTATATGAGTCTGACTAATTAATGTTGGAAAATATGTAAATTCATCATTTCAAATAAAACATATCATACTGTTTGGCTTAATACCTTATTTTGTCCCTAGTTTTGCTCGAAAATGTCAAATTAGTCCATCTTTTAAAAAAAACGTCAATTACGTCCTTACTTAATAAAATTTGCATCAATGAAATCCCTCCCGTTAAATCCGTACAAACGGCGTTAATTATTTTTCTCTTTCTTCTACTTCCTCAATTAACGCCGTTTGTACGGATTTAACGGAAGGGATTTCATTGATGCAAATTTTATTAAGTGAGGACGTAATTGACACATTTTTTAAAGGATGGACTAATTTGACATTTTCGAGCGAAACTGGGGACAAAATAGGGTATTAAACCCATACTGTTTTAATATGATGTTAGTATATAACACCAGGACAAAATTATTGAGATTCATTAATAGATTATATTTATCAATTGATAGACTAAAAGTAATTATTTAAAATTTTAAAAAAATGAATCAAAGACTAAAACAATATTTCAAATTTTATAAAGAGAAAAATAAAAAATGAAATAAAAACTAGTTAACTTTATAAAAATTAAAAATATATTTAAACCATAGCAAAAAATTGAAATTGACTTATTTTTATCTTCATTATCATAGATATGGAAATTACTTTAAACTTGAGCAAATTAATATATTTAGGCAATAGTCTTTAAGTATTTATGTAAGACGTAAATATAGCAATGAATATATTTTAAAGGAGAAATTAAGAAGAAGATATTCTCTGATAACTAAAGTTAACTCGTATAAATTAATTTTAATTCTTTTAAAAATATTTTTTTTTTTTGTTTTCCTGTAAGTGTTTAAAAATTATCCAAATATATTAATTTATTAGTCTTTACAAAATAAATTAATTTTATAACTTAAAAATGTGAAACCCCATAAAATGATAGTTTAGAAACGGTGATAGTTTAGACATAGCGAGATTCAGTTATTTTAATATCAAATGGTTTTATTATGAATAGTTTTGTTATAAACAAATTTCATTGTTTGAAAATGTACTATTTCTCTAAAAACTATTTTTCTAAAGCTCTCTATCTTCTCTCTAAATATTCTAGCATCTCGATCATTTGTTTGATTATCAGAAGTTCCCAGGAGATCATAGTGGAGTAATCTCCACATCTATCTGACCAATTTATAGAATAGAGTAAGTAAGTTTTGACTCATTTTTCTCTTTCGTTCCTAATTTGAAATCACGTGGAGTGATTATTCGTCGTATGCGTCTTAGTGTTTCTTTTTTTAATTCTCTTGTAACATGAGGTTTTAAGGACTTGTTTCATTCTCAATTTGGCATTTTGTAGGCGTTTACAAAGTTTTTTAAATTCTAAGCAAGGGATTGACGTTTTCGAGCTTCATTAACCAATGTGAGATAAGGGAAGCTATTGTTTGTATTTTTATTATTATTGTTGTGTAAATTTAGTGCTTGCATGTACGATGATTTGATTTAATCGCAATCTAGATATTTTGGTTAGCATTAGTTTCTTTAAATGATGATTAATGCCTATGTGATGGTTTAATGTTTGGTATGGTGTGGTTGTAAAGATTTTAGTGTTATGTTTGGGTATAATGAAGTGTATTGAGGTTTAATATTGAATTCAAAGTGGTTGGAATGAAGATTAACCAATTTTTGAGTTTTAAGGTAAAAAAAAGGTTTTGAGAGGTGAGTTTGAGAGATAGTTATTGGAATGAGAAAATAATTGGTTTAGTACTATCATTGAGTCATCTAAATCTTGTCTAAAGTCTTAGTTAATAGAAATTTGAGGTAAAATCAATTAGGAGTTGAAATGTTGAGTTTTATATGTTTTTAGGTTCAATTTTAGGGGTTTTAACCAGTGAGATCTCAAATTAGAAGTTTTAAGTATAGGTGATGATTTGTAATCTGTTATTGAGTCTATTGGGACTTGTTCAAGTTGTCAGGTTGTAGAAATTTGGTGTATAAGGTGTAAATCTGAGTTTAGGTGTTTTAGAGTGTCAAAAACGGCTTGATGCAACTAATATCGAGTTTAATGATCAAATGGATGCTTATTTTCACTTATAAATGTGTGTCTCTATCAATTCTAATGTTTAAGGAACCAACTTGATCAATAAAACAAGCTTCGGGAGCATAAAAATCCATTTTCAAAGTGTTTTGGGTGGTGTCATGGGGCTTGAGCGCCTAATTCCAAAGACACAAGCATTGAGCGCATGTTTTCAGTGGCTAGGGCGCCCTAGACACTAAAAATGGGTTTGGACTTTCTTTAGATCGTTTTAGGGGGTTTAGACCCTTTCGAAGCTGTTGGCGAGGGTTTCCAATCTATTTTCCTTATCTCATGTGGGTATCAAGATGTTATAAAGAAAAATTGTGTTATTATGTGACTTCTGATGACTTGTAAGATTGCTTCTAGTTGTTTAATGTATAATTAGAAGTTTCATGTGATAGTATGCAATGTTTGTGTGAATTGTGTGTGTGTCTCTCTCTATGTATATGTGTGATTATGAGAGGGAAATGTTGATGATGAATATGTAGTTGATTGTGTAAATGATGTTGATTAACGTAATTCTGTGACTCTCATGGAGAGAGGTTACATAGTAGAGTTTACCTTGACACTCTCAATAACCCCAACTCAAGTATAGATGGTTAGTTATGTAGTAGAGAGTAGCAGGAGGTGCAGTCTAGAGACTTTACCTTGGATAAAATTATTTTCGGACTAACCTACAAAAGGTTCATAATTCATTTTATTTTATTTTTAAAATAAACTTATATTGTTACAAAAATTGTTTATAATATTTTTTTTACCATCTCATTTTTAATAGTAAAATACTACTGAAATAAAATATTACAGGTAAACTACTATAATTTGTATTAAACTATAAATTATATATTTTATTTAATAACATTGATGTTAAAATATTAATTTAAATATAATAAAATATCAACATAAACTATTTAATAAAGTGTATAGTTTTATATTTGTCCATAAATGATACATTAATAATATTAAATATTTCATTAATATTTATATTAAAGTAATGATTTATGTATAATAAATAATCACAAATAAGAGTTTTTAAATATATAATTAATTTTTAAAATATTATAATAATATATTTAAAATATAATTACTCGAAATATCAATTAAAACAATAAATATATATAGATAAATTGACCAATATAATAAAAATATTATCAACTTTTATATTTATATATATAAAATATGAAATTTGCTATTGAAGTCTACCAAAATTTAGTTAACAAAATATATCTATTCATAAAAAAATACTTTAAATTTTAAAATCTCTATTAATAAAAAAATATTTTAAATATAAGAATATTTAATAATATTTATTTTTAATTTAAAATAAAAAATAAAAAATAAATTTTCATTCAAATATCTTTAAACTTTCTATTTATAAAACTTAAAATTCATATGAATATATTTTTCTCAACTAAAATTTTGTATAATTTAAAAAAATATATAAATTAACAAACATATATATATATATATAT